TTTTGAAAAAATAAGTTTTTATTCAAAAAAAAAAAAAAAAATAGTCCATATTGCAGGAAATCTCAAGTTCAATCTTGTTGAACAATCGCCCACATGAGTATTATTCCAAGAACCTGCTGCATCTAAGAATTGGCAAGCAACAAGAAACAGCTGATTTTTCCTTGGATCCCATGCGCCTTCCCCAACCAATGTTGTATTGGGATCGAAACTCCTCCGATACCAGACAGTGCCACTGGCTGAAAATTTCACCAGAACTCTCAACCTTCGTGTATCCTCGAAACACTCAATAGGCTTCAAAGACACAATGTGCGGCACATCAGATGCAACAAACGGAGTGCAGCTCTTTGCAGAAACGCAATGGCTTGAATATTTGAGATCCAAATCATAATCAAGTACCTTTCTGGAAAGTGTTGAACAAAATGTCTGTATTTGCAAAGAACTTTTGGGATCATCACTTCCAGTACCAGGGAAGCTGTTATCAGATTTATTTGAAACCAGAGTGTACTGGTAGTTCATTCTAGGAAGCATCAAAATGGAGACTGGTTCAAAGTTATTTGGATCATTCTTAGACAAGCTCTCTAAGGTTCCACTAGTCAAACTAGTAATACTAGTGGAATTCATGAGATTATAGAGCTTAAGAACAACATAAAGATTTTGCAAAGAATTACGTTCATTCAAGTAATTACCAATACCTGATCCAACCATACAAACCTTCCCTGAAGATGCTGACCAGAACCCATCTAACAGAAACTCTATTGATCTTCGTTGATATTGATTTGATCCAGAGTCCTTATAGTTATAGATGCCACCAGGATATTGAGGTCTGCTACTTGTGGAATCTCCCACATAATAAAGTGTTCTGGCGCTTTCAAATTGAAGATTTGCTTGAAGCTTGAATAAGCCTTGTACATTAGTTTCTGTAATATTCCAGGTGTTGAATAGAATCGAATTGAGCCGAAATGGTGAATTTGGACTAAGAATTCCACTGCCGCCACCAGTGTAGTAACCTATCTGGTGATTGAAAAAATGTCCAGATACTGCGTGTGGTTTCGGGGTTGACTCGGGAACAATTGAAGCACAATGATCAGCATAAGAGACTTGATCAACAGCTGCAGCAAAGAATGAAACTGGGTTCCAAGAAAAGGTGGTTAAAAGAAAGAGGAATATGAGAAGAAGGTTTGGCTGTGTATTAATGGTGGTTATAGCGGAACAAGACTTGCAGTTCATGAAGATAGCCATAGGTTCTTTGGTCATGTGTATTGGAAGAAAGATCATGAACAAGAACAAGAACAAGGACAAGAACAAGACACAAAAAAGCAATGCAATGTTCTATCTATGTACTTAGCAAAACAGGCCATGTATGTACCAGGTCATGAGTACCAGGTCAACCACCATCCCACTGACCCAGAATAGTCCTCTATCCATTGAAGTTTTCTTCAGTTTTAATTCCACACAAAAAGTTTTACACAATTCGAACAGTTTGATAATTAAGGTGAAAAACCAATCACAAAAATCAATTTATTAATTCTATGGTAGGTTTGATCAAAAGTATCCATTCCCTTGAATCTCCATAAACTAATTTGTTGTGTACTTTTGTAAAAGTTTATGTTTCCCTCGAATCATATTGCATGGCAATTTATGTTTGCTCCTTGTATATATTGAAATTGTATTTATGTTTAATTTACATAGTTTGTTCTCTTTTGTGATTTCGTTGACTTTGAAAATCTTAGCATGACAATTTCGTCTCATGACAGGATGTCGCTATTAGATTCAGGAAAAGTTATAATTTTGGTCTTATAAAATGGTATGTAATTGATCAGTGGGGTATGGCTCAATTGGTTGAGCTATTCCACCTCCACCTATAGCTCAATTGGTTTCAGTAACGTAAATTGGAACATTTTTTTTTTTAATACAAGCGATATTGGGGGAGAGAAGAGAGAAGATTCGAACCCAGCATAACGAAAAGATAAAAACCCTTTAGGAATGTAATTTCAGTGAATATCAAGCAACACTTGGACAGCCATTGTGTTATTTGTAAAGCAGTTTCCTTATGATAAACAGAGTGCATACATTTAAAAAGTGCAGTTCTAAAACGCTTCTAGAAAAGAGGATAAGAAAGAGAATCAAAATGACAAGACTTTGACATTTTCCAGCCTAATTAGAAAAGTAGAGCAACAGAGAGGTGGCCATTTTCCATGACCTACAGAACACAACACCTCAATTACCGGTTGTTTCCCTAAAATAACACTTTTGCACATAATTTGTGAAACTAAACCGGTGCAGGATCTATTACTGTTTAACATACTCCCCACAAGTTTAAATTCCTTCCTGAGAAAATACGAAAGAAACAAAATAGCAGCAGATAGAGAATATAATGTCCAATTCTCTCAACAGTCTGCATACCTGAGAGAGTTACACCCACGTCACTTTGGCAATTTGCCTTCAGTAACAGTAGGGACCTTCTCATATTCGCCCAACTCTCTCAACTTTTGAGGAACAATGCAAAGACCGCCAAACTTCTGCTGCAAGTAAATGATCCCCACAAACAGTAGACCTACAAAAGGAATGATGACATCCCAAGCAGTGGAGTAAAAATCTGCCACAGGACTTGCATAAATGTATGCCTCATTCAATTGGTGATGAGCAGAGCTGCGAGACCTGTAAAGATCATATGCATGCGGCAGCACTCGAATAAAAGTCGTTCCCAAGTAGAATGAAACAGACAGAGACTTCTCCTTTGATGTGCAGAACATGTTGAGTAGAATTTGAGGCAACAAGAAACTATCCAAGACCAAACCAGCATAAGATTTCAAGGCACCCCAAATCGGATGCTCATGATAACCTGAAAGCACCACATCATTAGTGCCAATCTTTCTCCAATCCATCAGAAACAAAGCAGCTAAAGTCCCTGCAACATATACAGGTAAAGCCACAATGAAAGCCTTCTTCTCCATGACCCAGAGCTCGTTTTGGGTTCCGTTGTTCACGGATCTTGCTGACCATGTTAGGCTCAGAAGACGGAGTTTCAACAAGAAACCTACCATTGTTAATGCCCTTACAATCACCTCATTAACTTCAAGCCATCCACTACTTCCAAGGAATGCTTTCCGGTGATTGGTGTTTTTTGTGAACATGGCTTCAAAATTTAGCATAAGAGGAATCATGTAGCCCAGAGTTAGAATTAGTAGCATGAAAATGGAAATGGAGGGAAGCACATCAGGATGATTTTTCACATGGAAGAGTTGTAATGCAACAAAAATACATGCAAGTGTGGTGGATACAAGAGCCAAGGTGATCTCTACATCCATCCTCCACATGGATCGTTCTGCTTCATCTGCATAAGCAGCAGCTGAAGAGAGATCCAAATGTTCAAAATAAAGAGGATCAGACTTTTTTCGCTTGCTTTCAATTCCTCCCTTGATAAAACCAGAAGAATTTGATGGAGGGAACTGAAAATTTACAATAATTTCACAATCAACAGAATCAGTTGGTGCTTGTAGACTCTTTGAGCCCAGATTTCTGCAGCCTATCATGCACAGGCTTCCTTCTGTTTCATCATAGATCCCTTCACCAGAAATCAGCAGTACTTCATTTAAAACTGATGTATTGCCCAACTTTGCATTAGATAGCAGTTTGATGCTTATTTTGTAGCTAATGTTGTACCTGTAGCTCACAGGTGCACTGACAGGAGCTTCAGTACTTGCAATTGAATCGGCATCTTTCATCGGATGCCAATGCTGGTTATAAAACCGATTGCCAACAGAGAAAGGGACAGAACTGCCCCAAGAAACTACTCCTCTAGAATTTTTGGCTGACATGTCGAAGCTCATGTCATAAGAAAATGGATTCGGGTATATGTTAGTCTTATCATTAGCGCTAACTCTAGGCTTCCTTCTCGGGCACAACTTCGTTACCTCATCAATTTTCGTGTACTCATATTTCTGGCCTGGAAGTAGAAACCTTCTAAATTCATTCTGAGGACTTTCAAATGTGATCTTGTTGAAGTAACCTGACTCTCTCACAGTTTTGTTGCTCCAAATTTGCCCCACAATGCTACTTGTGTTTCCAATTGTCCATATTGCAGGAAATCTCAAGCTCAATCTTGTTGAACAATCACCGACATGAGTATTATTCCAAGAATCTGCTGCATCCAAGAAATGACAAGCAACAACACATAGTTGATTTTTCTTTGCATCCCATGAGCCTTCCCCAACCAAAGTTGTATTGGGAACAAATGGTCTCTGATTCCAGGGCCTTCTACTGTCTGCAAATTGCACCAGGACTCTCAACCTTCGTGTATCCTCTGAACACTCGATGGCCTTCAGCAACACAACCCGAGGCAAATTAGACGCAGAAATTGGACTGCAGTTCTTTGCAGAATCACAATGGCTTGAATATTTGATATCAAACTCATGATTTAGTACTCTTCTTGAGAGTTCTAAACAAAATCTCTCTATTTTCATAGAACTTTCGGGATCATCAGTTCCATAGTTATTTGAACTAGAGCAGCTGTTATCGGATTTATTCGAAACCAGGGTGTACTGGTAATTCCTACTAGGAAGCATCAAAATGGAGACTGGTTCAAAATTATTTGGATCATCCTTAGACAAGCTCTGTAAGGTTCCACTAATCAAAGTTGTAAAACTACTGGAATTCATGAGATTATGTAGCTTAATAACAACATTAGGAGTTTGCACAGGATTATGTCCCTTTGAGTAATAAGAAACTAATGATCCAACCATACAAACATTCCCAGAAGATGCTGACCAGAACCCATCTAGCCAAAACAGTAAAGATGTTCTTCGCCGATAAGGATTTTGTGGGAGCAAATTTCCTCCCACGGGAATATTCGCCTAAAGATTCCTTCGTCTTCTCCGCACCTCTCTCTCCCTGCAAAATAGATCGGAGTAAAAGGACCACACCCGGGGGGTGTTGGCCAAAGGCCCTCCGATGCCTAAGTTAGGATGGGTGTTTCAAGGAAAACCGGGTGGCCGGAGCCGTGTGTGGAGGCCGGAGCCTTGTGTGAGAGAGAGAGAAAGAAGATGGTGGCTAGGGTTTGTGAAGGATAATTTCTGCAGAGTTTCAGTAGGAATTTAGACGTACCTGAACCCTTGTGTGTAGCTAGGTATTTATAGGAGCCTCGGAGGCTAGGGTTTCAGAGGAATAATTCCGTAGATGGAAAGGAATTATTCCTCCCCTATTAGGCGAGATTTGATTAATTAGGGATTTGATTTATCTGATTTAAATCAAATCCCTAATTAGGGTAGGAATCAAATCAATCCCCATTTTAATTAGGTAATTGCCAATTTAATTGGGTAACTCCCAATTAAATTGAGTAACTCCCAATTAGGTCAAATAATCCCCAAATGGAAGGAATTATTTGACCTAGGGTGATTTAATTCGGTTCCCACACTGAGCCTGAGTCTAAACTTTTAATCGTAATAGGTTGATTTAGACCGCAGCAACTATGAACGATTCCTAGATGTGACTCTTACTAGGGACAACAACATCACCACTGGGAAGATATATCAGGTGTGTGTGCTTATATTTTCCTAACATCTATCCCCTTAATGAAATGTTGATATTTTCTTTTAATGGGTTGCCTCATTTTTATTTTTTGAAATCAGTCTGTGCTGGATAAGGAGGGGATAGGCGATTACCTTGGAAAGACTATTCAGGTGATAATACAAAATTATAAATGTTAATGAATTCATAACTTTATTTATTTTATTTTTTTCTTTCTCTCACTTGCATAGAGTACTGATGGCTGGCTTCCTGCCATGTTTGACTCGATTTAGGTTGTTCCACACATCAATGCCATTAAGACTTGGATTGAATCAGTTTCTCTCATTCCTGTCGATGGAAAAGAGTGCCCTGCAGATGTTTATGTTATAGAGTTGGGTGGGACTGTGGGTAAGCGATAGTTAAAACATAGATACGTTATATGACTCATTGTTCTCTTTCTGTGTTTATATGCAAGAGCTAACTATTTTCTGTATTGTTAGGTGACAGTGAATCCATGCCATTCATTGGGGCAAAGCCTCAATGAATGGCATGGATTCACTGTCACCTAACAATA